AAATCGAGTTCGAATAGATAAACAGCGGCAAAAACAATCTTGCCTTAACAAAGAAAAACATACGCTACAACAGCCACTACACAAATAAAATAAAAAATAAAAAATAAAAAACAATAAAAAAATAAATAAATAAATAAGGTGGTGAAAACAAAATCAGTTACACATACAATTAAAGATAACCTTTTCATAGTCAGTCTTAACAGCATAACAAGTGAGCGTGTGCGAAGAAAGCATAACAACAACAGTACAAAACAAATCGAAAAAAGATAGATTTGAGAGAGTGTAAGCATACGAGTATACCTGTAAAAAGGTAGTTCGTATTTTTTTTGTTTCTAATTTGTTTTAAACTTTGCATAAAATTAATCTCTTTTTCCTGAATATGCTTATAGTCATCAATCTGTGCATAAATATGCGAAATGCGAAAATGATTGTAACAAAATATTCCTTCTATCGGAATTGGCAATCAAAAGCTCATAAACTATCCAATTATGCTAGCGATTTGAATGAAATAGGAATTCGAATTTCTTTAGTTTTCGAATCGAATTAATTATTTATATCGCGAGGTAAAAAAAAAATTGATTTTTGCCACCCATATTTTCGCTAGTGCTTAGCTGTACTGCTTCTGCTATTTGTGGCGTGAGTCTTCATGTTAGGACACCAAAGGAGGGATTTACAGTTTTTCGTTGTCTATGAATTGCAATCGGTTTTAAAGGCAGCTTTTTCTTGGCAGAAGTACACTTGGATGACTGCCATTGTCTGCCAGGTGGCGACCACTATTTGCTTATAGCTTTTTTCGGACGTTGCTAGTAACAGCCATCGACCCTTAGACTGGCCTAGTCGCGTAGGCACTTTTAATTATTCGGGTTATCGCTTACGGAAATCGAGACTCTTAAATAAAATAAAAGTCTATTTGACCTCTCAAAAGACCTCGAGAGATCTATAGCTCATATAATATTTTCTATGTCATTCAATATTTTTTGACACACCCTCTGGATCATAATGGACTTCCGTTGTAAAACGGATCGTTTCAAATACTTTCTTTAAGTTTTTTTTTTAGTGTAATTTAATTCGATGTTCTCATTTTGCTGGTTACATAGAAAGAACTTAACGCTGGTGTATAAAAATCATTGTAAAACCGAAACGTTCTTATATACAGAATGCCATACGTACAGCAACACAAGGACAGTGAATTGCTTTCACAAGTTTTTGAGAAACAAAATAAAAAAAACTTACGTAGATCATTTGTTAAAATAAGTTTCCTAATTTTTGAATGCGGGTTTACCTAAAATAAACAAGAAAAAAATATTATGAGTTCCGAGCAATTGTACGATAAAATATTAGAATTCATTCCTATATCCCAGACCCATGAGCTGCTTGCGGTGATTTCGATGAGCTTGGCTATTGAGATCTCTTTCATTGAATGTAGAGGCGTGGAACTATTCAAATTCCTTTTCACTACGAGTACTCAAAGTCAGTTATAGGGTACTATTTACTATACCTTTTTAGAATATTTTTTAAAGAAAGTTCTGCACTTGGTCCTTTAAGTATGTTCGGAAGCGCCACGTCATTCTTTGGCCATCCATGGCTACCGAGTTGAAGGTTCTTTTCAACGGAGTGTTTTTCTCCATAGGTTACAATACAATCGTTATATTTCTATGAATTCGACTACGTCAATTTCTTTAAGTAGATCGATACCTGTCGCCTGCACGAATAGTTCTTACGACGTCTTCCCATCTTCGTTTGTCACTGTTTTTTATACCCGAGCGCACTTGTGCACAAGGGTATTATAACTTTGTTCACATAACGGTTGTTTGTAACAGGCAAAACGAATCGAGATAGATATAGACAAATGTATACATAAATGATCAGAATGAAAAGAGAAATCGATTAAGCGGTGACTGTCTGTCCGTCCGTCCGTCCGTCCGTCCGTCCGTCCGTCCGTCCGTCTGTGCACACGATAACTCGAGTAAAAATTGAGATATCTTAACGAAACTTGGTACGTGAACTTCTTTTGGGCGTGGGACGGATGGTATTGAAAATGGGCGAAATCGGATAATAACCACGCCTACCTCCCATATAACGGTAATTTTAAGAAATACGAAAACTGCGATATTTTAGTAACTACTGAAGATAATTCACTCAAAATTGATACTTACAATGAGTTTCAGACGGAAAACATGAATATTATAAATTTTTGGAAAATGGGCGTAGCCACGCCCACTTATGGTTACATGTGTATATCTTGGTAACCGCTGCACCAATTTCTTCCAAACTTGGTACAGTTGTTGGCCTTAGTACAGCATACTAAATGGCTGAAAATTTTAAAAATCGGACAATAACCACGCCTACCTCCCATATAACGGTAATTTTCAGAAAAACGAAAACTGCGATATTTTAGTAACTACTGAAGATAATTCACTCAAAATTGATATTTGCAATGAGTTTTAGACGAAAAATAAGAATATTACAAAATTTTAGCAAATGGGCGTAGCCACGCCCACTTATGGTTACATGTGTATATCTTGGTAACCGATACACCAATTTCTTCCAAACTTGGCACAGTTGTTGGTCCTGGTACAGCATACCAACTGGCCGAAAATTTCTAAAATCGGATAACCACGCCCACATCCCATATAACGGTAATTTCGAGAAATACAAAATCTTCGATAAATCAGTAAATATTGAAGCTAATTTATTCAAAATTGATGATTGCAACAATTCTTTACCAAGAAATACGTTTATGACAAAATTTTGGAAAATGGGCGTAGCACCGCCCACTTGTGATCACATATATGTATCTCGCTAACCGTTCTAGCAAGTTGTACCAAGCTCGGTATGGTTATTGTGCTTGCCACATAAAAGCAAACCGTTGAAGATGGTTGAAATCGGACTAAAATTGAGGCCGCTTTTCATATAACGGTAAATTTCAGATATGCTTGAAATTTCAATATTTCGAAATTTAAGGACGCTAATTTACTTAAAATGTATACACCCCGGCTTATCATGTAGCGGTAGCTTTCGGAAAGGTGGAAAACATATATTTAATACTTGCGCCGGGTATTTAATGTTCGGCTCCGCCCGAACTTAGACTTTCTTACTTGTTTTAAGAAGCGCTCTGTCATTGTCATTTTTAAGCCTCGGTATTCAGCGTCCTTAAAGTGGAGATAGACGGTTGTAGGCCTTATCCTTCAACTAACCGAAATGATCAAGACTTATTTCTGGCCAAGTACCGTAACTTCAGCAGCATTTCCCAAAACGTTTTTTTTTGCGCTGTTATTATTAATATTAAGCGCCATAAACACCGGGAACTCTACCATGTTCTATGTTTTGTGCGTGGCTCTCCGCCCTATAAGGGAAGGCTTTTGTTCCAGACACAAATCTGCGCCTAGCGACAGCGTCACATTCACAGAGAATATGCAGCTCGCAAAAGTGACATACGTTTAATACCGCAAGATTAATTTTACTATGGTGGTAAAGAAGCGAACAGTGGTCGGTGTAGTACCCAGTGGGAGTTTCGGGGTCCCTTCTGCTTAACTTATGTAGTTGCTTCATTTGGAGGACAGAAAAATCGCTCTGCTTGTCTCTGCCTGAGACATTCCGTCCAATGACTGTTGAACATTTTGTTTACCCAGTTATCCCCTTTATGTGTGCTTTGATAAACCCACAAAAGGGTTCCGGATCTTGAAACACTTCCGTAGTTCCTTGTCTCACTAGATAGTCCGCCTCCTCATTGCCATCACGTTCCTCATGTCCCATCCTATTAAAACTGCGCCTAGAGCATTTGGGAGACTGAAGCAATAAAATAATGTCTAAGACGTTACAATGTGGAACTTCGGTGCTAGAGGGCTGCCTGGATGTCCGACATAATGCAGATATATTTTGAGGATGTGCCTCTTCTGAATCATTCTTTGCCACAGACTTCTATTGTATGGGTCTCCGCTTGGAAGATGGTGGATTAGCAACCCATTGGTATCGATTTTTTTGAAGTTCAGCCCATCTGCGTGTGCTGTTATAACAACAACAAAAACGTTGAACTTTGATTGATATTGATAAGATGCCATCAAATCATTAGACCATTTAATGAATTGTCTTAAAAGGTGGAAATTGCACGGCTGATGTACCACCCAAGCAGGGCAACCTTGAGGTGGCTTCTCTGAATAATAAGAGGTATTTTTGGTAAATTTGCCCACCATTTGGACGGTAAACCCTGTTATGCGAAATAATGAGGTATTCTTTGTCACCTATGAATCGCAAGCGGTCCAAAGAGCTAGATAGACCACAGCTCCTCTTTAAGATCGGGCATTTAATCCAGCCCTGTCTGGTAGAAGCTGATGCGAAGAGTCTGGTTAATATTAACTCCCAGCTGTCTTTACAAAGGTGTAATGGCACAGGCCAGCCTCCATCGCTATTTTTTTTTTTGTTTATAACTGTTGAGGAGCTCCCATACTTAGAAGAAAGGTATTGGCTGGAAAAGCTTTGTAGGGAACACTCAATGATTCGTAAATGTGAAAGCTAAATCTTCATCGCTCAAACTTTTTTCTCCCCTTTTTCATCAAATAAGCAGGTTTAGACCCGCGAAACCAGATCTCTCGGTTCTAGAGAGTGTATTGACAAGCCACTTTCCTATCGGGGTTCACGCAGCGAGATTAAATATTACAAGGTTCGAGCTTTCTAGCTTAGAGGGAGGAGATCTCCGGTACTAATATCTGCCGACTGCGAAACTTCGTTTAGCAGTAACCGTTCACAGTCTAAAGGCCACACAGAAAGTCTGTCGCGGTGGGAAGCGATCCAGCGGTTGTCGCGGCAGTCTGCGCTATGGGGACGTCACACAGAAGTGAGCCCCTTGACAGGGGACAAGTACCTCAACTTAACCAATATATTTACATCTATTTGTCTGCCATCTAACCCCACCCAACCGTTATCAACGAACAAATTCTTATTTATTATGTATTTATTTAGGAATAAAGATTATAAATATTTTTATATCTCCACTTCGGCAGGTGTACTTGTGGCCCAGTAAGAATTGCTATCTTCCCAAAAATCCTGCAGAAATATGAACTGGCTGCAAATCGTAACGATAGCAGCCTTTTTGGCTGTGAGTAGCGTGAAGTCGCTATCTCTGGATCCAGGTATGTCAAATATTCTAAGAAAGTAGACTTAGGTAGTGTAGCATTTTTTTTTCCTTTTTTTGCAGTGGCTTCCACTGAACTGGAGCAATATATAAAAAAGGGCGATTGTGTGATATCAATGCGGCACATACGGTAAGAAAAATCGTTTTATATTATCTTTTAAGGAAAAACAACTTACCAAAAAATAAAAAATAAAATTCTCCCGCACTCATAGTCCTCGCCGCAAATTACACATATCTATCGAAGCGCTCTTCATGATCGACTTCCCCACATTGAAACATAAATTATCATTCTTCCTCGATCGCATGCATCAGCGTGTCACCTTGGATGTAACAGCAAATGGTGCCACCGAATCGAAACACTTCGAATTGCCTAACACAAATGAGACGAGCACAATACGTTCATTAGCTTTACATTTTCATAAGAATCGCATAGCAATGCTGGTGGATTGCAAGGAGAGTTCGACGCATGAGTTGGAGATTAGCTTGGCAGAGCTCTATGCGCAGATGGAGACAGATCCGGTTATAAAACTGGTGGGCGGTAGCTAAGAAGCATTATGAAAAAATAAATAAACAAAAATACACATTGTAGACTAATTTATATTTATTTTTCTTTTTTCTCTTTTATCTCTTACATTGCATTTGACAGTTTAGGGAACGCAAATATCCTTTATATTTTGATGGACAGCTAGAGCCGGCATTGCAACGCACCAATTGTCAAAAGGGCGTGCATAAGCGCAATAAAGTTCATATGATGCGTACGCAAGTAGCGGAGCGTGGTAGGTATATGATATTGCCTTGCATTTATTTATTGCAATATTTTATTGGCTATCGCTTTGCTTTTAGCTAAATATTATTATGCGCACGCATGCGTATGCTTTTCTTCTCTTATTTGTGCATCTATTGTTACTTGCCCTGATTTGCATTTGTTCATCAATCACTTTCATTTAATTTGTATTCCATTAGAGAAGAATAAGAAACGCGATGTACGCAATTGGTTCAACAATGATTCCAGCGATAAACGTCACGAAGAGGAACGCATTCCCGTTGAGATTGAGCAGCGTGGCGACATTCCTGTGCTGCATGGCGATTGTGAAGGTATGTATGAAAATGTGGGCAAACTTTGTAAATATTTATGTATGTACATACAAATCTGTGCCGTTCAATTAAAGTAGCTTAAGTGACTTTAGAAAGTTTGACTTTGAATCAACAAATAATCAGTTTCCCTTAAATATTTTTATATTTTTATTATGCTCCCATTAAAAGAGCATCTTCAAATACACCGCTGGCTAGTTAAACGTCAAAATATTGTTTTGGAACCCAATGAAATGTTGCTTTAAAGGGAAAAGTTCCCATCCCAACATAGGCTACTTTAATTGAACGGCACAGAAATGTATCTAAATAGTATGTGTATGTATGACTTAAGTAAGCTTAAATTGTCGCATAAATTGCGAGATTCTTCGCTGTAATCCTATCCCACATACTGCTCCTATTAGTGGGTAAAAAGTAAAGTGATTGTTTAAAAATAAGTATTGTAGTTTTTTTTTAAGGATTCATGTCAAAGTAAAAGCGAGGTTAGGTGGGAGAGTTTGGTATGTGTGGGGCTGCGTTCCTTTAGGTTAGGGTAGGTTAAGTTTAATCATGCGTCACACTTAAATAGTTCACTCATACCATGCCATACGAGACTCCTCAGGTCTTTGTGGAAATAGTCCAAGAGAAATATGAAGCGCATTGATCAGTGCCAGGTTGGGCTATGTTATGTGAGACAGATTAGGTTAGCAAAATACTTTCACTTAAGTACCAATGTATTTAATCGATGGCTAAATACTTCCAAACTAAATATTTTATGATTTAGTTGAAAGTTAAAAAAATTAACACCCTACCTTACACTCACCTCAACTTATCTTACCACAACTCACTTTACCTTACCTCAAATCAACTCATCGCATACAAACTCACCACACCTGACTTAAATTCACCACACCTGGTCCTACAACACCTACATTAACCAAACCTTAACTCACCATAACTGAACTCATCACAATAGTTCCCACCACACCTCACCTAAACTCACCAAACCACAATTGAGGAACTATTTCGGGATTTCCCGGCACTATTTCGTGATTTTCGGAACTATTACGGAATTTCCGTTGTATTTATCGATTTCGATATCTTTACTTTTATCGATATTTGCATAGATATACATGCTTATGAATAATTTTACCGATATCTATTATTGATAGTTTTATCAATACATGTATCTATATTTAAATCGATACATTTATCGATATTTTTGCCGATCTGTTTATTGAAATTTTTATCGATGTATTTAATGATATTTATCGATATCTTTAATCTCGAAATTCCTGAACCTTCAAATAACCTCAAAAAAATTCTACAAACCTCAAAGTAGTCTCGAAATAGTCCCGAAATAGTCCTTACAATCTCGAAATAGTTTCTAAAAGTAGGCCCGAAAACTCCGAATTAGTCTCGAAAATCCCGGCTCCATCGCTTCCATGCGCTGAGGGCGGTTATGGCTTTTCTGGATCGCTCCGTAAGGTTCCGTTTCCAGTCCAACTTCCTGTCAAGAATTGTACCATTTAACCTCGTTGGTGAGTGTAAGCCCCACACAATTTAGACAGCAGGTAGGGGGTTATGAAAAGACGGTGACTTATATTTTCTCGTAACTTTTAGTCTAGCATTTCGCTGCAAGATGAGGTCCATTCACCGTTAGGCTTTTGGATATAAGTCGGGGCGACTGAAGTGTTTGATAAGATCTTTCATAATGAAAAGGTGAAAGTTTTTGAGGCATCCTAATACGGTTGCCAAGATCTAGTTCTTTGCTATGGATAGGTTGTATCCCTTTTTCAGGGTGCACCACCGAGGCGGTTGGTCGTTGCCGGAGTGATCTCCGTAAGTGCGGTTCGAATAATCAAAAACCCAGATTAGTTAGGAAGGAGAGAATGCGAGATCTCAGATGCTTAACATCACGTCCAATGCGTTGATGTTAATGTCAACTGGAATATAAGACTTTATGATTATAAACACCCGCAGCTTAATTGGCCTAGAGATCACCAGAGCGCTTTACTCGAAGGCATATTTTAATCCATTTTCCCCGAGAATAATGTCAGGCTAACAGTCCCCTCGGTGCGGAGTGTAGAGTAGACATTGTTGCTAAAATGGCTCCCCCAATATCTGATAGTCACAGTCACTATAATCAACCTTAAGGACCACCCTGAAGAAAACATGCATGCAAACGAAAAACATTACAAAAAAATCGCACCTAAAAATATTTTTAACTAGCAAATACTCGAAATGTTTGCTGCGCCTAAAACTATTTTTGTATTCTTACTCCCTACCAAAACTCTTATGGCCTCATTCATAAAAAATAAAATAGATTTAAAGAGCTTTATGAAGTGAAATTTTCAAAAATATTTCAATATGTGAAGCATTCTTTAATTTCTATGAATGTGAGTATTCATCAATTTAACTTAAGCTAATTTTTTTTAATAGGTGGCAACCCGCTTAAAAAATATTTTCGGCAGTAAACTTTCTTAAATCTCTTTAGTTCGTTAGGCGCTTTGTAATAATTCATTTTTTTATAAATTTAATTGAACACAATTTTTCAAACAGGTGGCAATGCTCCTCAAAAATTTTTTAGCCAGTAAACTTTCCCCATAAACCTCTTTATTGTGATATCCATGTTGCAATATTTAAAATATCTTATCAATTAAATTAAATTCAAATTTTCAAACAGGTGGCAACCTGCCACAAAAATATTTTCGGCTGTAAGCTTTCTTAAATCTTTTCCTTTTGGCCGCCGTATTGCAATATTTACTTTATCTGATCAATTCACTTAAACTGAAATTTTCAAAAAGGTGGCGGCTCTCTAATATTTCCTTTTCTATTGTTTAAGTTAGACTTCTAGCAATACGGCAGTGAAAACTTGATAAAATTCCAAACATTAGTTTTTGAGTGTTGCGCGTACAAACACACATACAGACAGGCAAACAACAAGTCTAAAAATTGTTGATTTTGGCTTCTGTTGTTCTTATTTGTATAAATTTTTCTTAAGTATTTATAATGCACAGTCATCGGTCTGTTACAATTTTATTATACATACATACAGACATATGTATGTATGTACTATACATCACTATATGTAGATTTTTGTAGGCAAATTTCTCATAGCATCCATACCATCTAAACATGAAAATTATAGCCCCAATACCACCCGAAGTCTGGCTTATAAAAGTCGCGCAAGGGTTAATTTGCCATTTTATGTTCGATACATTGGATCAGCACCGCAGCTGAATGAGTGGGTGCAACTGGAGCAGCTGCATAGCTGCGATAAATAAATATTAGTATCTAGGCACCGTCACAAATACATATGTACATATAAAAGCATCATTTTACCTAGGCAGCCAAGTACAAACAAAAATAAACTATTGTCATCTACTCAGTGTCACTGTCATTGTCATTGCCACACTCGGAACCAACCAACCAGTTTTTAACCAAAGGGACAAATGCAGCTAGCGAACGATGCTATGTATGTATGTAGTCGTAGTATAACAACCATGACGCTATAAAGTTACAACGAACGACTATTTGGCTATTGTCAAAGCGCAGCTCTAAGCTAAGCTTTGGTGTGGATTACATTAAGTCGAATTTGGAGCATATTTGCAATATGAGAAGCGAGTCGGAAGTGTGACATGCGTATTGCGATCTATGTTGGCAATATGTTGGATTGGTTCGTGGCTTGAAGAGTGCTTGAGGGGCCACTTAAAACCCAACCCGATACTAAAAAGTCATGTACAGACATACATCCATACATATGTACATATGCTGATACACAGGTATAAAAGCAGTTAAGGTGACTTCCCACGCTTGCTGAAATTATGCACAAAATATATTCAAACAAAATGCGGGTTCAATGTGTATCCGTATGTTGTTGTTGTTGTTGTTGTTGTTGTTGTTGTTGTTGTTGCCGCTTGGCTGGGCGTGTGCACAACTGCGTCATAATTCCGCGCAACGGCACGCTTTACACTATGTACATTAGGGTGGTCCTTGAATGCGGGAAGCAAATTTTTTGATCAGATTTCCTAAGCCTCAACCCCTACTATAAGGTTAAAACGTTCCGCACAGCGGTCAAAATTCAAATTACTCTATGAAGACGTCTTAACCGATTCCAATAGGGACCCAAATTTTTATGTGATGTCCTCGACTTTAGTAGTATCGATTTTGGGTACTAAAAGAAAAAAATATTTTTAATTTTTTGAGTCTCCATGGAGCAACTGGCCTTGGACCCCATTGCGACACGTTGGGTATGAGTTGGCAAAACAAATTAATTAACTTTTTTTTTTGAGTCTCTGTAGAGGAATCTGAACTTTGGCCCCTGTACGACATGCCTTAACCAAAATTGAACGGCCTGTAAAAATTCGCTAATTTGATTTTAACGACCACCCGAATGTACATTCATACACTTTGTGTGTGTGTAGATATGTATGAAGCAGCTTCATGATTTATTGTTAATTTTTGTTGCTCACCTTTTTCTATTTTTTTTTTTTTAGTTTTTGTTTGGGCTCGTTTTTGCAATTTTCAAGCATAAACGCATCTTCTTGTTATTGTTTATTCAGGCATTTACATTTTTTTATTTTCATTTCTAAATGTTACCCATTAAATTTTTTTAGTCGACCTCTCTATTTCTTATTCCAATTTTTATTTCTTTTTCGCACATTCAACCAACTACCCATCTACTTACATAGACGCCCTCGCAAAATCTCTTAGCGACCTAATGGAATTGGTGAAACTTTTACGTGAAGATATTGCCAACCAACGCCAGGAGATTGCCTACCTACGCCGTTTACTGGAGAATTGTGCCGGTTGTAAGGAGCCGAGCAGCAGCAGTTTACGCTTGGAACCGACATGTCGCAACGCCAATCCCTGCTATCCAGGTGAGCCTATGTACCTAAACACTGAAGCTGCAATAAAGCTGACAAGCTGAGGCACACACACAAACAAACGTATATAGACATATATAGTCTTGCAATTTCATCGAAGAAAAGAAGTGTAAAATATCGAAAATTTACGGTTTTGTCATCACTTGCAGGTGTTGAGTGCCGTGAAACGGCCACTGGCGTAAGGTGTGGCCGCTGTCCGATGGGTTTCGCAGGCGATGGCAAGATTTGTAAGCCGGGAGTCACTTGCGCTGATCGACCTTGTTTCATGTAAGTCAAGCGAATTAAGAAAAGCAAATATTTAAAATTGTGATAATTTTTTTTGGGATATCCGTATCTCGTAAGTTAAGGATTATACATATTCGGTTAGATGATACCGATATGAGGGCTAACTGCTTAGAGTGAGTGAATTTTTCGTATTTTAATAGTTTTTTTCGTTTTTTCTCTTTGGTATATATTTACTATGAACTGTTGTGCTCCAGATCGGGTTCGAGGAGATAACTTATTAGATCAACGATATACACCGCTTAAGACTTTTGATACAATACAAATATTTTACCAGCTACTTATACTTCACACTTCGTAAACAAAAAAAACTAAAAAATAATGAGGTCAAAATTTCTTTCCAAGCTGAATGGATGTACATACATTAGGGTGGTTCAAAAAGGGTAATGTTGGAAAAATATTTTATATGGGGGAAAAACAAATTTTCGTTGAATAGTAGGTATAGAATTCTTGAAAATCAATATTTTTCGATCGGGAAACTCTGGTTCTCTTCAGGAGACTTTCAATAATAATACTTAATTGTTTATTTAAACATTTTTTAATACTACCGATTTTTTATTGGTCCCCCATTGCATTTTTCGGAGTTTTTGGGAGTTTTTGGGCGGACCTATAAATTATAGTTACTAATACAAAATGGTTAAATAAACAATTGGGTATTATTATTGGGAATCTCCTGCAGAGAAACAGAGTTTTCCAATCGAAAAATATTGATTTTCAAGAATTCTATACTATTTGTACGTAAAGTTGTTTTTTCCCATATAAAGTACATGGGCGCTTTGAACCACCTCCAAATATTTTTCGATTTCAAAATAAAAAAAATAGCGGCAAATTTTTTTCGGTATAGAAAAATCCTAGGGGTGAGAGCATAAAAATTCCGACTTTTCTTTTCCCCCATATGCATTTTTTTTGAACCACCCTTAATGTACATACATATGAATTTAGCATAAAACTAACAGTACTCGAAATACATGTACACAATTTTCTTATCTGTAGACAGAAAAAAATGTTTGTTCTTTAGAACCTTGACTTTTTTAATTCAAAAAGACACACTTTTGGACTGAAATTTTTGAATACGCAATTAAAATCCGACTTACCCATAAAATTTTAATATTCCCTGGTTTATGAGTCATACAGCTGTCCCTAGGCACGAAAAATCAGACAAGACAAAGGTTTGAAGAATGAAGGGGAAATTTTCAAAAAGCATTGGGATTCTTGAACAAAAAAAAATCTAAAAAAACAGGGGCCCTAACTGTTTTTATTTTTAAAATAAAATCATAATTTAACCGTTGCTTTGTGATTTTTGTTTCTTCGAACATTTTTAATCGTTATTATGTGATTTTTTTTCATCCTCCCACTCACCTTCCAGTCTCCATACGTGCTTTTCTCTCTCCCCTCTTAAAGGCATCACAATGGACATCTTAGTGGATTCAATGGGGGGCTCCATATACGGAGGCAGCCCGCTTACCTAACCTAAAATATGTGATTTTTTCTTTTTTCGATCAACTCTATTCGTTCATTTTGTGATTTTAATTTTTTCGATAAGAAATAATCGTCATTTTGGATTTTTATTTATTTTTCGATCATTTTTAACCTTTATAAAAGAGACTGCACTTTTACAAACGATTGAGATCTTTTTTGTATCTAAAAAATTAAATCTGAATATAACGATTTTTTTTATTGAAAAAAATTATCACAAAATATTTTATTTCTTCGATAATTTTTAATCGTTATTTTATGATTTTTCTTTTCTCGATCATTTCTAATCGTTATTTTATTTTTATTTTTTCGATAATTTTTAACCGTTAATAGACATATTTAAATATTTTTTTGATCATAAAATGAAATCTGAAAATAACGATTTTTGATATAAAAGAACCATCGTAAAATAACGATTAAAAATGACGGAAAGAATAGAAATCATATAATAACGATTATTTTTAATTGAAAAAAAAAAATAACAATCATAAAATAACGCTTAAAATGATCAAAAATACATAAATAAAATATAACTGCTTTGCAAAGATTTTAAAATAAGAATCCTTCATAATAACGATTATTTTTGGTCCCTGAAAAAAGCTAAAGCAGTTCCTGACAGCAGGTGGATACCAATTTAGGACACCACTAGAACATTTATTTCTCTCGCTTCGGCCTACATCCGACAAGTATAAGACACGCAACTTGCCGAAACTCTCAAGAACTTATGGGGTTTTAATGGGATACCTATATATTTCTACAGGAGTATAAAAATGATAAGAGCTGAAGAAAAGAAAAATAAGAAAAATTATTTCAGACATTTTTGTGTAAATATCCCACAATTGGAAGTATATGATTTCATTTATTGGGAGGCTACTACTTAGAACATCTCAACATCTTAGGCACTACTCAGGGGAGGGCTGACTCAGTGTTATGTGTTAGTTTAGGGTAGGTTAAGGTTGTTGCCCCTTGTCGAAGGACTCAGTTAAGACAGCTATCGTCGGTCTCTTGTGTACCACTGCGAACGGTAACTGCTAAGTTAAAGCGAGAACCAGAATCTACCAGAATCGAGAGATGCGGTTTCGCGAGAACTCTAGACCATCTCAGGTCCACCCTCGGCCAGAATTATCTCACACTGGATCTGGTTATCCCCCAGCGTTCGCTGAGTTTTCAAAAGTACAAAATTTTTTAGTCACCCTACAAATGCCAGAAGGCCCTGGTGACATTTTCTGTTCTATTATAGCCGTTAGTATAGACAGCTTTGGCTGATCCTCTAAAAAGTAACTACACCGCTCTTTTGTGCTATTATCTCTTTTTCCTTACAGGCGAAAAACAAAAGTTTTTTTCGGCAATTATCCAAGCATGCCATGTGCCTGGGATGAGAAGCAATTATGGCGCTCCAAAATTCATTTTAAAATTGCTTTAAATTTGTTTGTTATTCTTTTAAATTTCACTTAATATTTGTACATATAAGAATATTTTCAAGACGAAGCGTACTCTTGTATGGCTTTCTACAATCAATTTAGTACTTTAGTAGTCATATTTTTCTTATTAGAAAACAAGCATCGAAGAGAAAGTAAAGTAGGCGAGGGTAAAGATGTATGGGATCTTCAGTTGAAAAAAGTGCTGAGGAAGTACCACAGGACATAAGGGATCATTCCCCCAAAGTTTCTTAAGGTTCACAAGCGAGGGATGGATCCCATTCTCAATAAGTTTAATATACAGGGAAACTTAACTCCGTTATCTTTAGCAGTCGGACCTTAAATGACGTATATTAACCTGGATCTGGCGGAGCAAAACTCGTCGCCTTTCTTTCAAGGCACTGGACCTAACTAACCTAGTTCACAGCAGACGAAAAGAAAACAAAAGATACCAGAAGCACCTTCTGTGTAAATGTCTAACTTTGGTAAATAATGGTCTTAGCCGATTACAGCGCAAACCAGAAGAAGAAGAAGCAGCAAAATACAATCTATTTGTTTACGATTATTTCCCAGCGTTATCATGCATTCATATCCCACACGCAAAATATTGAACACTAAATTTCAATTTAAATAAATTTTACCCATTAAAAGTTGCTCTACTAAATATTCGTTCTGGATTTCTTATTCGTTTTACAATCGAAAATAAATAAAATAATTTGAATTATTAGAGCGACTTAACACCAACGCTGTACATAAATTCAATAAAAATCAGAAAATTTCGTGGGTACATATTTAATTCAAAGTTCTTGCATTTATTTGCAATAACTTAGAAGCAAGTGTGAGGTCTGGTCAGCGCAGATCTAGTAACTCTCATGTAATGTCATTCAATCAGTGCACACCGACAATAGTAGAAGAGGCAACAACAAACCACATAAATAAGTAAAGTGACATTAAATGCATGCTTTTGTGTCAAATTTGAAAGAAAACAAAACGTATTGAAATACAAAACCAACGTTGGCGCATGCACTACAAAAAAAAAGAGTATGAGTACCTAAACATTAAGTAAAAATAAAATCGGAGAGTGTTGCATGTGTAGCGCCTGTATATAAAAAGGGCAACCTGTTACAATAGGGGTATTCTCCAAATCTTGCAAAGCCATTGCACGTAGCACGGATTGCATGGATTGCATAACTTGCAAACACACAACAACAAAATACATGGGAAACGACATTTCCTATCGCTGCAAAATATGCAACGTCGAAACCCATGTATATATTTTGCAAAATAGCATAGCAAGATATATGCGACCCTGTGCTAGTTGTTTTGTTGTTGGAATTGCTACATATTTCTCTCATTCCTCTCATCTCGCTCACTTCATTTTTTTCTGCTGTCTCTTGTTATTGTATTTGATACATAATTTCGCTGCTTGCTACCCATGCATTCTACCACTTTGCAATGGGGTGCTCTCGTACTCTTCGAAATTTGGGATAGTATTTTTGCATTTCGTGCAATACGTGCATCGTGCAATACTTCGAGAATACCCCTAATGTGCTTCGCTGCTAAACAGCACTGACTTGCCATTGCTGGCATTTAAAAGCATAGACAGATGGCAGCGTTGATCCGAATTAACTCGTTAATTCGGAATTAACGGCAGTTGATACGGATTACCAAAAGGCAGAAAACGGCGAAAAGGTAATAATGTCAATTGACTTTTTTTCGCACCAGTATGCGATATAGTGTCAATTGAACTTGATCTTGTTACCTGTCACCGCAAAAGTAGCCTGAATTTACAATTCAAAATGGTCAACCGATTTCATTAATTTTTTTTTAATGAAAGCCAATAAAATTTAGAAAAGATTTGTAGAACCCGATTGTTGAATTTTTATTTGTTTTTGTTAAATTTTTTTTAGGGCCAAATGCAGAGAAAGTATCGATTTTTAAGAAAATCCTAATTACAAATTAACGCTTTCATACATTTTTCAATTTATGAACCTTTTTTTAAAGCTACTTTACTTTTTTATGAATATGAGTATGAATTTATAAAAAAAATTTCACCAAAACTAAAATTTTTTTCAGAACTTTTAGGTAAAT